TTCTGCTCTCTTGGAATTCACACCTCCAGATCAGCTGCTAGAAGTGGGCCTCATCCTCCTTGATTGGATCCACCTCGTCATCTCCAGCCTGATCCTGACCTGCATATTTATACCTGCCTCTGGAAATTTCCACTACATGCATCTGATGAAGTGGGTCTTTGCCCACGAAAGCTTATGCTCCTACACTTCAGTTAGTCTATAAGGTGCCACAGGACTCCTCGCCGCTTTTGCAGATTCAGACTAACATGGCTACCCCTCTGATAGGTGAAATAGCTCTACCGTTAACTTTGCTGGTTTCCCTTCAGGACTGGAGCATGGTCGTTTGTAGAGTGATATGTCAAAGATCAGTTGTAAGGTTAGGAGTAAGGCAGGATGTAACGAGAGATTTTGCTTCCAGAGTGTATATGAGAGAGCGTCTTTCTGGCGACGTATTGAGTTAGGCAAGGATTAGAGCGCCTCTGAAGTTGTTTATAATAGAGCTTTCCAAATTCCACACCTTCCTGGCTAGGCCACGTGGAGCAGACACAAGTGCAGCTGTTGTCAGGCTACTGAAAACGTGTGGAGGCAAATAGTATGAGCACCTACAGCCTTACTCCTTCCTGGGCCTTGAGCCTGCTGATCCCCTTCATCAGAAGCTGTGATTAGCCTGAGTGCTACAAGATTTGCTACTGGCTGAGCTCCTCTCTTGTCACGTGCCTTTGCTCAGGATCCCCGGCTCAGTAATGTTTCAGGTGTGCTTGCCTGCCTTCGAGACCCTGGGCCTTTTGACAGGTTTGGCTGCTCGGTGCTGGACCCAGCAATGCTGCCTGGGTGTGTCTGTGTCACCCTTGCTTTCTCCATCGGGCGTTTGCAGAAATGGGCTGGTGTGCTTGGCAGCCCAGCCCAGGCAGTCATGGGACAGGCTGTGCCAGCCTAGTGTCTCTTTCTTCAGAGCCACTTCATGCATGTTAATAACAGAAATGCCAATGGAAAGCTCCTCCTGTCTTTGAACTGGGTGATTTTCCCACTCGTGATGATGACTCCTCCCAGCTTTCTCTGGTTGGTGCCACTCGCCTACAGCTGCCACCCTACACTGTCTTAAATTTCCACACTCTGCTGTGGCTGGAGGGAGAGTTTCTGTTTGGAGTTCTGGGAAGCTCCAGAAAGAGAAAGCTAATTTGGATTCCATTTGTAATGACATGATTGGTGTGAGCCCTGCACCGGTAGGTGGGGAGAGAAGGAGCACCTTCCCTTCTTCATTCTGACTCCCCTTGATCCCTGCTCTAGATCCCAGCTGCCTCTTCATTGGGAACTTAGATCAGGAGAGCTGCATCTCTCGGCTGCTGCCTTTCAGGAAGGTGGGGTACCTGCACTGACAGGAGATTCCCACCCTTTGGTGTAGGTCAGGAGGCAGCAGCCTGCAGCCTTGAAACTTCATCTGGCTCTTTGGCTGTCTCCTTGCACCTCTCTGGGGAATTTCCCAGTCAGTTGTAATTTCCCTGCCTGCCCCAGCCCCACGCCACTCCTGGAGGTGGTCCGTGTGTCCCCGGGATGGGGAGTCTGGGGTCATGGCAAGCTGGTCCTGCCTGAAAGCACTGCCCCTGCAGCTCCGATTGGTCAGGAACTGTGACCAATGGGAGTGGAGGGAGAGAGGACCCAGCAGAGAGAAGCAGAGCACGTAGCCATGTGGTCCCCCTTCCTCCCCCTCTGCTCTGGATCACAGCAGTGCATTGGCCACTTCCAGGAGTGGGGCGTGGCCTGGGCAAACAGGAAGCCTCCCTTAGCTTCACTGCACTGCCAGCCTGGAGCTACCTGCAGTAGTGCTGCCCAAAAGGGAGGCTGCACCTCAGCCATCTCCTGGAGCCAGCACCCCAAACCCCACACTCTGCCCCAGCCTGGAACCCCCTCCTGCACTCAAACTCCCTTCCAGAGCTTGCATCTCTCATCTCCTTCAGAATCCCCAGCCCTGAGCCCCCTTCCAGAGCCAGCATCCCATATTTTTTCCTGCACCCCCAAGCTCTCCCATGGTGTTGAGGGAGCTCAGGACGGGAAGTGCAGCCACCGCTCTGCCCAGCCACCGGATTCTCAGGGCTGGAGCCTGGATGCACTGTGGCTGCTCTGCCAGGGTGCTGGCAGTGTCCAGAGCCCTACCACCAGCCGGCCAGTATCTTCCCATGGTGCTGCCCTGGGGAGCACCAGCTCACGGTCTCCTTTAGTGTAGACATGGCCTAGAAATGAAGCTTCAGCACTTCTGGAGAAGATGCTCCAAGCAGAGAGAAAGGAGCTCTCCTGTCAGCTCTCCGCTGTCTACACTGGCACTTAAATCTGTGTCTCTTGCATTGCTCAGGGATCCCCAGCAGCAGCTTGCCCTGGGGCAGCTGTTTGGGTGGTCCAGGAGCCATTTGTACCAGCTACTGCTGGGGAGGCCCCAGGTAGAGGCCTTATGTGGCTGGCCCTGGGGAATGAGAGGGCAGCAGTGGGGCTCTTCCCGCTGATCCCCCAGGGCTCCCTCCAGAAACAGTAAGATGTGGTCAGGGGGGTTTGTAGTAAAAGTCATGGACAGGTCATGGGCCTGTGAACTTTTGTTTATTGCCTGTGATCTGTCCAGGAGTTTAAATTAACAGTACCCTGACTAAGAGTGTTGTAATACGTCCTAAATCCAATGTGTCTATTCAATCCAGTTTTTAGTGATTGGCAAAGTGAACGTATTTAACTTAGTGCTAATTCTTCAGTCAGTCTTGTGACTCTTTTGGGAATCCTCTCCAATTTAGCTACATCATTCTTGAATTGTGGGCACCAAGATTTTACAACTGATTCCAGCAGTGGTCACACCAGTGCCAAATTCAGACGTAAAATAACCTCTCGATTCCTAGTTAAGATTTCCCTGTTGATGCATCCCAGGATTGCATTAGCTTTTTTGGCCACCTGCACTTGGGATGGAAGAATCCCAACCATTGTTACAGGCTGGGATCTGACTGGCTAAGTAGCAAGTTCAGCAGAAAAGGACCTGGGGATTACAGTGGATGAGAAATGGATATAAGTCAACAGTGTCCTTGTAGTGGCATATTGGGGCACATTAGAAGGAGCATTTCCAGTAAATCTAGAGGAGTTATTGTTCCCCTATATTCAGCACTGGTGAGGCCACATCTTGAGTATTGTGTCCAGTTCTGGGGCCCCCAACACAGAAAGGATGTGGATTAATTGGAGAGGGTCCAGCACATGACCTATAAGGAGAGGGGGCTGGAGCAAATGACCTATTTATACACTCTACATTGCTGCTTTTTTCGATCCTTCTGTAGGAAGAGGTTTTTCCAACATTTGGCCTGTTTAGACTGGACCAAATGTCAGAAAAAGCCCTTCTTTTGGAAGTCCCCTTAATTCTCGTGGAATGAGGAATACAGGGGTTACCGAAAGAGCATGTTTGCTCTTCCACTAAAAAAAGCGGAAGAACAAACGCGTCCCTGGATGCGGAAGAGTTTTTCCGGGATATCTCCAGAATCCTGGAAAAATTCCTGCAGTC